ATGGTAGTAGCCATAGAAATGGGCATGGGGTGCAGAACGCACCCCAAGGAACCATTGAGGGTTAAATCAGAGCTAGATAAGATTTTAACAACTCTGAGCTATTAGTTAAGTTCTCCCCAAGCGAGCTCGATGGGCCGAATGGCCTCCTCTCGTTTGTATATTTCTTATGTTCTTATGTTCTTATTAATATTAGTACTCCAGGCACTGACAGTGGGTCAAAGGTTAGTGAGCAGGAAGTGGTCCTCCCCCATAGTAACATATGGTCTCTTCCTCACTCCCTCAGCAATGGGGCCCTCTGCCAGTGTGGAGCCTCACGGGAGACACACACTGCAGTGGCCGTGGGGGATTACTTTAGCACAGCCATTGTGAGCCGGTGGGAAAGCAGCCAGCACTCCTCAGAGCAGCCGACGGACGCCTTTGGCCAGCTGGACTTCCTCGGAGCCGGGAGGCGGCAGGGCCGTGTGCGTACCCCTCTCCGGCCGCCCCTAACCCTAACCTTCATGCGCTTCTACACCTGCCTCTTCCCAATAAGACCACTGTATAGTACAGCGCACCCCTTCCCTGTAAAGGGACTAGGTGTAACTAGGGACTATAGGTGTAACTAGTCTATATAGATAAATTCCATTTAGGTGAAAGATTAAGATAAATTTTATTGATCCAGAGTGCATACAGTAACAAGTATGTAGAGCAGAGACAAACATACATAAAAAGTTCGAGTTCTGATCGAATTCTCCCCATAAGAAATAATGGAAAACCAATTAATTGGTTCCCGGCCCCAAAAAATTACACCTAAATATGTTTTTTTTAATCATTTAAACACAACATGAACCGGATAAAAGAAGAAGAGCATATACTATACTAAAGACATCTAAGCACATTTATCAAAACAGTAATTTGTAAAGTAAGAAAATAAGTGTATCCAAACAACGTGTAAAGTTAAAAAAAAAAAAAAGTGTCCTGCCCCGATCGTCCGCTCCTTCCGTGTGCCACGCCCCCTCGTTAACCCCGTGTGGAATCCTCGTGTGATCAGCTGTTTCTGGTTGTTGTCATTAGTCCTCTGTATTTCGTCCGCGTTTCAGTTTCTTTCCCCAGTCCAGTCATTGTATTGTCCGTCTGCGTTTTGCCTGCTTTGCCTGTAATTAAACCTCGTATTCCCCGATATCCTGACGTCTGCGCCTTTGTCTCCTTTCGTCCCCGCTCAGCACGACAATATTATTATAATTAAATGTATTAATGGTTTATTATTAATATTTAAATAATTAATTTGAAATCTTTATTTTTGTATTTTATTATATAATAATAATTACTGTTACTGTCTATCATTGTCTAAATGTATTTTTACTGTCTAAATATATGTATTCAGCTAGTGTAAACATGCACGATGCTATCACAGCGAATGCGAGGCTGAGACTGAAGCTTTACCCTTTGTTTCGCGTGACTCATTTCCCCGCGCATACAAGTTATCTTAGGTCGGCGTTCACTGTTTACTTCTGAGATTCAGATCGAGCTCTAGGTATTTTTTTTTCAAACTGGTTGGTTCGACTTTTAAGAAATTCGAGTTCTAATGAGTTCAAGAACTGAGGTACCACTGTACACAGTATAATAATAGAATATCCTGAAAAACAGAATATTACGAAAATATTTAAAGATGACAATAATAATAATTATAATAGTAATAGATTAGCAGATGATATATATGCAGTAAAAACAGAAGGTAGCACCAGACTTTTACTAACATGAAGAAGGGATTATTTCTGTCATGTTATGGTTGGGGGGAGAGAGTGGCATGTTGGGAAGAGATGCAAACTTACTGTACATAAAAAAAAAACAAAGAGAATGAACAAACACATCGGAGCTGTTGTAGCTGCCGTTGTAGCAGCATTGTGTTTGCCTGTGAGTTTCGCTTGAATCTGCTGCTTCCACATACCTGCTACTCACTCACTAGTGCTCTCAACAAAGCTGCCCAACCCATCCCTCAGAAACACACGTGCATGTACAGTCACGTGAGAAAGAAGGTACACCGTCTTTCAGTTCTAAGGTTTTATCTTTCTGGACATAAAAAAATAATCTAGTCTTAAAATTAAGTAAATACAACCTCAGATGAACAACAACACATGACGTATTACACCGTCCCATTGTTTATTTAGTAAAAACTAAGCCAAAATGCGGAAGAAGTGTGTGAAAAATGAATACTGCTTCCATAAGAATTTAGAGGGTAAGTAGCAGCCAGATGTTGCTAATCAAATGCACTTGATTAACTGACCATTAGCAAGTGTGATTAGCTCAATAAAAGCAGAAGTTTTGCTGGTTTATTGGTTTGGAATGTTTAGGTGTGTGTTAATACAATGCCAAGGAGGAAAGACATCAACAATGATCTTAGGGAAGCAATTGCTGCTGTCCATCAATCTGGGAATGGTTATAAGGCTATTTCCAAACAATTTGAAGTCCATCATTCTACAGAGAAAGATTATTCACAAGTGGAAAGCATTCAAGACATTTGCCAATGTTCTCAGGAGTGGATGTCCCAGCAAATTCATCCCAAGGTCAGACCGTGGAATGCTCAGAGCAATTGCAAAAAACCCAAGAACTCTACAGTCCTCAGCTAGCATGTTAAATGTTAATGTTCATAACAGTACAAATAGAAAAAGACTGAACAAATATGGCTTATTTGGAAGGGTTGCCAGGAGAAAGCCTCTTCTCTCTCAAAAGAACATGGCTGCACAGATTAGATTTTCAAAGTTGCACTTGAACAAAGCACAAGGACAATGTCCTTTGGAGAGACAAGACCAAAGTAGAGATGTTTGACCATAATGCACAGCACTGCATTTGATGAAAACCAATCACAATGTATCAGCACAAACATACCAACTGTCAAGCCTGATGGTGATAATTTGGGCTTGTTTTGCAGCCACAGGACCTGGGCACCTGCAGTCATTGAGTCGATCATGAACTCCCCTGTATAACAAAGTATTG